CCACTGTGTGTGAGATAAGGATAATCTTGGCATCCATCACTTTATATGCCATTTATTCACTTGCTTGGGAGCCTTCTGTTAAATCCACATATGCAAGGTCCATGTCTTATTTGACATTTTAACCTAACTACTGTACTTGGGGCATGTTAAGTGGTAAATTAGTAAACAGTACATTCAGTTCAATTGAGTTGCTCAGTTGTATCCCACTCTTTGTGACCCCACAGACTGCAGCACACCAGGCCTTCTTGTCCATCACCAACTTCAGAGTTTACTCAAACTCATGTCCATTTAGTCAGAGATGTCATCCAACCATCTCATCCTCTGTCGTCCCCTTCTCCTCCTGCTTTCGATCTTTCCCAGCATCAGGATCCTTTCCAATGAGTCAGTTCTTATCATCAGGTGAACAAAGTATTGGAGTTTCAGCTTCAGCATCAGTCCTTCCAATGAATATTCAGGACTGATTTCCTTTAGGATGAACTGGTTGGATCTCCTTGCAGTCCAAGGAACTCTCAAGAGTCTTCTACAACACCACAGTTCAAAAGCATCAGTTCTTGCCATATGACCCAGCAATCCCACTTCTGGGCATACACACCGAGGAAACCAGATCTGAAAGAGACACGTGCACCCCAGTGTTCATCGCAGCACTGTTTATAATAGCCAGGACATGGAAGCAACCTAGATGCCCATCAGCAGACGAATGGATGAGGAAGCTGTGGTACATATACACCATGGAATATTACTCAGCCATTAAAAAGAATTCATTTGAATCAGTTCTAATGAGATGGATGAAACTGGAGCCCATTATACAGAGCGAAGTAAGCCAGAAAGATAAAGACCATTACAGTATACTAACACATATATATGGAATTTAGAAAGATGGTAACGATAACCCTATATGCAAAACAGAAAAAGAGACTCAGATGTATAGAACAGACTTGTGGACTCTGGGAGAAGGCGAGGGTGGGATGTTTCAAGAGAACAGCATCGAAACATGTATATTATCTAGGGTGAAACAGATCACCAGCCCAGGCTGGGTGCATGAGACAAGTGCTCGGGCCTGGTGCACTGGGAAGACCCAGAGGGATCGGGTGGAGAGGGAGGTGGGAGGGGGGACCGGGATGGGGAATACATGTAAATCCATGGCTAATTCATTTCAATGTATGACAAAAACCACTGCAATGATGTAAAGTAATTAGCCTCCAACTAATAAAAATAAATGGAAAAAAAAAAGCATCAGTTCTTTGGCACTCAGCTTTCTTTATAGTCCAACTCTCACATCCATACATGACTACTGGAAAAAACCATAGCTTTGACTAGATGGACCTTGGTTGGCAAAGTAATGTCTCTGCTTTTTAAACAGTGCATTAGAATTATTAAAAATTAAGGTATTCCTCTGTCAAAACTGCACAGATGGTAACTAGAGCTATCTCATATCTAAGGCCCAAACATACCATTTCACATAGAATCACATATTTTAATATAATGATCAGCCAAAGTAAAACCATAATTCAAGTATATTAAAAACTTCTTTAGCGGCATCAGCAGCTTATGTGTGTTCCCTTTTTCCTCCTTAAGATTCCTTCTTTCCTGAGGCATTCATTCACTCATTGAACAAGCAGTGTACAAGATATGGAACTACAGTTTTATTCTATGTCCAGAGGGAGCTTCAGAAGAATCAACTAAACTGGCAATTAAAACATTATAATGTTCAATTGTATCCATAAACTAAATCTTGCAGTCGATTAAAATCTCTGCAATGTCCATGCACATGCATGCGTAAGTGTAAAAAAGTAAAGCATATACTTTAGCAGCGTATATCACCTGCTTTCTATCTAGCTCAGCAGAATATAGAACTAAAACTGATTAATCAGACACAGATTAATTTCTGTTCCATGCTCTTGCCTCTTCTGTTTAATAAGTAGTATGCCTGAAATGACAGAGGATGAGGTGGCTGGATGGCATCACCGACTCAATGGACATGAGTTTGAGTAAACTCTGGGAGGTGGGATGGACAGGGAGGCCTGGTGTGCTGCGGTCCATGGGGTCGCAAAGAGTCGGACACGACTGAGCGACTGAACTGAAGTGAACTGATGCCAGAAAACAGCAGTTTAGAACTGCGGGTTTTGACTCCAGCTCCGAGATATGCAGGTGAGATGGGTATCGCCTAGCGTTTGTCTTCTCCCAGTCTCCGTGTGCTCAACTGACACATGGGATAGAGACTTCTGATAGACTCCTCTGAGGTTCTGCAGAGAGAGGGCACAAGTTCAAGTGGAATTTTTGAGTCCCTAAACCATAAACGTGATTTATCTTTTCACTGATCACTAATTACTGAATTTCTGGACAGGCACCAACATTGTTTATTCTGGTTTTTGTTCTTTAAATGGCCTTTTTAAAAAGCGGTCCTCGTATGGGGATCTCTAAAGATTGTAGTATTCAGATTTTACAAGGCTCTTGGTGAGGCAGATGGTAAAACATAAAAGTTGTTCTGATTTTAAATTGAACTGAGTCCAGCACTGGCTGCATGTCATTTTTCTAGTTGTTCCAAATTAGTTCCTTTCTCATTTGTTTCAGTGTGACTTCCAACTTGGAGTTTTTAAATGATTAATTTGATTCATTGAATTGGTGCTTTTTAAAGTTTTGTCTGTGTGTGTGTGTGTTTTCTGTGATTGAATGCAGGTGAAAACAACAGAGGAGGTCCACCACCCAAGTTTTTGAAATTAGAAAGCTAATGTGTTACTTTGTTCATATCTCTTTATATTTTATATTGACTTACTTACTTAGCTAAGTTATATGGATTTTTAGATCTCTAAAATGATACATCTTTCAAATTTAGATGGAAGATATGACATTTTTTTTCAAAATGACATATGTGATACCTAATGGAATATCTTTAATTTTTAAAGTTTATATAAGAATTCATCACTCAAAACATCATGGCATTTGCACCCTGCTGGTTTTCCTATCACAGTTTTTTAACTAAAATTAGTCAATTTTTTAAATGAAGCATCTGGAAATGAACGTCCAGCAGATCTTTATTTATCTGGAGGAAAAAATACTCTAACAGATTCAAAGTTAAAGAAGAGTAGACGCTTGCTTTTTAACCTTCCACCAATTCTATCTGCTCAGCTCTCTCAGCTTTTCTCTTTGCTTTTTCTCAAGGTCACCAGTGCCCTGTGCAGATAGCACAGCCTTCACTTATCAGAGCCTCTGCCAGCTCTCACAAAACAGAAGCCAAGAGTGGAGCAAACACAAAAAAGGATGATTTGCTACGAACTGCGATGTGAGTGCGGCTGAGACCGAATGCCCACAGCTTCAGCCCAGAACTCCTGCATCAGCATCTCTCCACACACATTCAACATCTTCCCTGCAGCATCACTGCTCTGCACGACCCTTCATAAACCACTACTGAGGCCTTATCTGTCTCTCCCACAAAGTGAACCGACACACAGGAGGACTGCAGAAGCAACAGACAAACCCTCTACCCCACAAAACACCCACACGTCCCAGAAAGCACCTTTCTGAAGAACAGTCCAAGAAACAAATCCCAGCCCGGCATAGTCATTAAAGGAGAATCCAGAGAGAGGAAATGGTCCGATCAGACAAATGGCAATAAACGTGGTACGTGAACAGACAAATGGCAATAAACGTGGTACGTGAACAGAAAGGCCTGTATCTAGGACCACCCAGGAGTGATCATGCACTTCATATGCTGTGACACGTGGGCCAGTCTCTGGGTTAAGGCCTTAAGCTGCTTTCTCTCCTTTTATCTTCACTATGAGTCACTCAGTCTGTCTGACTCTTCGAGATCCCATGGACAGCAGCCCACCACGCTCCTCTGTCCATGGGATTCTCCAGGCAAGAGTGGGTAGCCATTCCCTTCTCCAGGGGGTCTTCCCAACCCAGGGATCGAACCTGGGTCTCCTGCACCGCACATAGATTCTTTACTGTCTGAGCCAGCAGGGAAGTCCTTTTATCTTCACGTATTTTAAGTTCTTGTTTAACACATACTCATCACGCCGTTTTCACAGATGAGGAAAGAGTGACTGTTCCAGGTCAAAAGAGAATAAGGCCTGGATATCTGTTCTGGGCAAAGCAGTCTGTCCAAAGCTTCACGGGAATTTGATTCTGCTTATCCTAGTGAAGTGAAAGTCTTTAGTCGTGTCCGACTCTGTGACCCCATGAACTATACACTACACAGTCCATGGAACTCTCCAGGCCAGAATATTGGAGTGGGTAGCCATTCCCATCTCCCTATTGCTCCCATCTATTTTATGAATTACATTCATGACTCTGTTTGTGAGAGTGTCAGTCCTTGCATTCAATATACATGACTTTCCAGCACGCCACATGATTGCAAGTCCAATGTTTCTCTCCCCAGCATCCCTGCACGCATCCATCATCTGTCATTTCCGATTACTATTAGTGGTGTTAATTCTAGCCCATCTGTTTAATGATATGGTATAATTTCATAAGACTTCTTCTCAAATGACTATTTATCTTAGGATGTCCATCAGCATTGCTACATTTTTCCTACAGATGGTAGGGGTCATCACGGCCTGTATTAAAAACACAAAAAGCACTTGCATCAGATTTAGTTCAGATTTCACACCATACACATATAGATATTTGAATGTGAGACAAGAAAGGAGAAGTGACATTTCCATCCGAACAAGCACAGCTGAAACGACTTCTGCGGGATCGGTCCTGTTCAAGGCCTGCTCTGATCTCCCTCTAGCGGCTCAACGCAGTACTGCAGTTACCCAGCTCCACAAGTGCATGACTCCAAACTGTTCCTTCCTCTATTCACCAACCAGCACCCCTGCGCTCCGTCTGGGGGCCCAGCATCCACTAGGCCCCGGCTCTGTGGGGCCGGCAGGCTCTCACAGGATGGGCATCAAGGACCCGGTACCCAAGTGCCTGAGGGTGTCCCCGGGCACCTTTTCTTGCTTGGGACTCCCTGTCTGTGTGCCCACGTGGGGCACCTTGCCTGGTGGAGAGACTCACAGCTCAGCTGCTTGTGTCGCAGCAGCAGGAGGCCCGCCAGGCCAGGTGGGGACGCAGCCCCCGGAGAGGACACCCGGGAAGACGGGAGAGGCTCCGCGGAGGCTCCACAGGGCCACCCCGACCCACCGGTCCAGGAGGCCACACAGAGAGGAAGCCGGCAGGAGCCTGGGGGGCAGAGTCGGCTGGGCCTTCCCAGGCTGGCCCAGGGCACGGTTCTCCTTGCTGGAGAGTGAGAGGTCCCCAACCCGCTTTCTGGGAGACCAGGAAAAACAGAGGCAGTGAGGAGGACGGCTGAGGGTGGCTGTGCCAGCCTCACACAGCAGTCCCTTCCAGTGGCCTTCAGTGGTGCTGGAGAGGACTCGAGAGTCCCTTGGACAGCAAGGGTATCAACACAGTCAGTCCTAAAGGAAATCAACCCTGAATATTCATCGGAAGGGCTGATGCTGAAGATGAAGCTCCAATACTCCGGTCACCTGATGAGAGGAGCCGACTCACTGGAAAAGACCCTGGTGCTGGGAAAGATTGAAGGGCAAGAGGAGAAGCGGGTGACAGAGGAGGAGATGGCTGGATGGCATCACAGACTCAATGGACATGAGTTTGAGCAAACTCGGGGAGGCAGTGAAGGACAGGGAAACCTGGCGTGCCGCAGTCCACGGGGTCACAGAGAGTCGGACACGACTGAGTGCCTGGGCAATGACAACAACAGGAAGATAAAGAAGTCCTCACACAGGCTCCATTTTTCACGCTAGTTTTGGGTAGGGGAGGTGTCACTTTTTAAATGCCATGCCCTACATAGAATGGGCAGATAGGTGCGATGATTTATTCAGTTTACACACGGGTAAGCACATAAGCATTTAGATAAAATTTGTGAAAAATACTGTCAAGGTTGGGAATAGGACGACAGGAAAGAAAATAACAGAAGAGTAATTGGATTGGACTGTGAGAGGAGGGGGTCCTGGCCAGGTCCGGCGGAGGCGTGGCTTTGGGATGAGATGGACTTGATGGGCAGGTGTCAGCGGGGCGGGGATTCCCGGCCGCTGGGGCCCAGGAGGCAGGGAGCATTACGGCAGGTTATTAATAGGTGAGCCGAAAAAATACCCAGGCGGCTTCCACGGGAGAGGACAGAAGGTCCCTGAAGGTTACAGGCCGGTCGTGCAGGAACTGCAAATGCCTGCTAACAGGCCTCTAATGGATTTCAGTAAATACAAGGTCACGTTTAAACACTGCCTTAGGCTGCCTCCCAGGACTCACAATGTGGAAGGGAGGCTCCAAACCCGCGATGGAAACTAACATTGGAGTTTCCAGAAATGTGCAAAACGGAAAGGGATAATTATCGACTGTTAGACTCACGAAGTGCCATGGGAAAGAGATCCCGACTGGCTGAGAAAATCAAGGGGAGCCTAATGCTGTTTACAGTGTTTATTTTAAAAATGGGCCGTTTTTAGACATTCGGAGATGGAGCTCTACTATCAGGAAACTGTGGGCAAGGCAGCGACGGGGGGTGGGGGTGGGGAAAAAAAGGGTTCTCACAGGAGAACAGCCAGCATGTAAAGCCTGGCCACGCAGGAGGCCGTGGAAGACAGAGGAGGGGTCCTGGGGTCCGACACCATCACCCTGTGGACCACAGCTGAAGGACACGCCAGCATGCTGAGTTCAGTTCCAGAAAGTTCCAGGGGGTACAGAGAAGGGGTGGGGATGCCTTTTCAGGTTAGAACCACACATCTAGGGGTCTGGGGACCACTTCACCATCAGAGAGACATTAAAGTGCAGGGTGACTGTGGGGTGTCAGACATTTAAAGGGGTTTCTTTTTTTCACATGGAGTAAATGAGATGAGAAGTATTCCTACTACATAAACAAAAAGATACACTCTTAGACATATGACTAAGCCTCCTGAGAAACACAGGCAACTGTGTTCTTGGCGCTGAGGCTGTGTGCAACTGTGCTCAGTCGTGTCCGACTCTCTGCGACCTCATAGACTCTAGCCCACCAGGCTCCTCTGTCCATGTAATGCTCCAGGCAAGAATACTGGAGTGGTCACCATGTCCTCCTCCAGGGGATCTTCCCGACTCAGGGATCGAACCCAGGTCTCCAGCATTGCAGGCAGACTCTTTACCAGCTGAGCCACAGAGGAAGCCCACCAACACCTGCATTTAGCTGTGAAGTATAATTCTTTCACAGGAGTCTATACTGTACCCATGAATAGGTCCTTTGACAAATGAGGTTAACATGCAATTACGATACAGGACCACAGTGAAGGATACAAGGAATTTGCTTATAACCGGAACCCAAGTACTAATACCAGACATGATTTCTTTCCTGTAGACTAGTCCATTGATAACTGCTAGAGAAGTGGAAATGTTTTTATGGGGATTGCAAGTTTCAAAAGTGCATTGTCTTGCTGAGGTCTCCCAAATCCACCCATCCATCTAGATGTCAACCAATCCACGTCTAAATGCACACATCATTTCCTCAGCCTTACTGCTGTTGGTTATTGCAGTTATTAGTATTTTAATCCATCCCTAGTCTCCCAGAAAAAGTCTTAAGAGTTTTGGTACAGCAAATCTTTTCCACCAAAATATTTTTAGCATCCCCTAAAAAACTACATGTGGTACATGTAGGTCTTCAATACATTCACTGAAAGTGTTTGTTGTATCAATCAAGGGTCACTAGTGATTAAGGCGAAAAAAAAGATTTGGAAAAAGAAGGATCAGGCTTGGCTTAAAAACAAGAAAATAGCATAAAAATGGATGTCAGGTTTAGTTGGAGGGTTGAATAACTGCTTTTGTCCCTCTAATCCTGTTCCATCATAGCCACTGACCTGCTAAATATTGCTAATTATAGCCAGTGCTGTGAAAAATAAGCCATTCAAATGAACTTATGTTGAGAGAAAATTAACACATTAATCCAAAGAAGTTAATAGCGTGTTTTAAAAGAATGATAAGTAGTTTCAAATAAATTTAAAGGCACCAATCAATCCAAACATCAACAGAAGTGATGGTCAATAATTCAAGTAATTTAAGTAAAAGATTCAACATCTAACATGACAAAAAAGAAAAAATAACAGTTATACATTAAATAAAGGAATAATATTATAGATTAAGATCATAATTTTTGCCTCCTTTGGCATATTTTAGAAATAAAATACAAATAATCTCAGAGCCAATAAGCAATATCCCTATTAGGAAGAGCAGTCCATTTAGGGCTTCACGGACTGATCACAACATTTTGGGATGATATAAATATTTACAGGACTTTCTGTAATTAGGAGAATTAGCCCTTTCCCCTACCTTCATTCCCTAACACACTCACAACACACAGCAAAGCTGTCTGAGCTAGTCTTGGCAAGATGTTTCAGGATATTTCACCATACCCTCTTAGAATATATCCTCTGGAATAGAGATAAATCTTTTGCAAGTTGTTTTAGATGTTGAGTCTAAATTCTCATTTACAGACATTAAACTCAGCAAGAGCCTGTGGGTTCCTCCCAGGTACAAAAGCCCCTCCATGTCCCTTGCCTCTTATTTTTAGAGAAACTGAAGTCTCCCAGGCCTCCTTGAGGCATGAAAGAGCAAGCTCAAGCAGCTGATGATTAGGACAATGGGACAATGGGGTCACAGAATCTTCAGTTCCCCCGTGAAGGACTTGGATAACAGTGTCTGATGCACATTCCTGAGCTGTGTTGCAGACACCGTAACTGCCACCAAAGGGAAAAAGCTAGCTGCATGACGACCAGACTGCAGTCATGACACAAGCCGCTTCTTCTTGAGCAGCACTGAACCTGTGGCTTCACAACTGGCCTCAGGAGGATAGGAACAAACTGACCCTGGAGTGGAGATCAACTCCTTCACTAGTTGTTGTGGGGTTTTATCTTCTAGTCCAGGGGATTATAATCGGAACAATGACTCTCTGCAAAGAATTACTTTTTAAAAAGTGAGTAATGAGATGCAGCTTTAGAATCTCAGCTGGCACTTAAGAGAACCAACAAAGCACCTTGTCAGACCCATCCACTCTAAGAATCTTTCAACACTCGTGCTCGGCTTGAAGACGTTACAGAAGAGGGACCTTTGTTCCTTTTTCGTAGAAATGGAAGGGAAATCTGACAGCAGGGACTGTAACTGAGGTGGTGAGACTGTAACTAGGGACTCTCGGATCCTCAGCATTGTCCAACTATTTTTCTTCGTTAGCATATGGCCGTGATCTTACGGTGACTATCCTGACTTCTATCCCAGTTCACCATAAACTGAGCTTAGCTTGCGGATGATGGACAGCACTGCTGATGCAAATCAAGACTGAAGATGAGCTGCTCTATTGTCTTTACCCTTGTTCCTTACTCTTCAGGACTAATCTCAAGTGAACCAGAGATTCACGACTTAGTTATATTCCAACAGCAAGCCAGACTTGGTGGCTACCTAGAATCTAATGATCAAGACAATTGTGTCTAACCCTCCCCAGCATATAGGCAGCCATCTGTTCTTTTCTCTGTATAATCTCTAAGCAAAACCTGGGGAGTTGGGAGTTGGTTCTTTGGACATGAGTCCACCTTCTCCCCAGGATTGCTAGCTTCCTCAATAAAGTTGTCATTCCTTCTACCCAACACTTGTCTCTCAGTATTGGATTATTTTTTAATTAGTTCATTTTTATTGAAGTGTAGCTGATTTACAATGTTGTGTTAGTTTCAGGTATGCAGCAAAGTTACTCAGCTATACATACATATATACCTGTTTTTTCAGTTCTTTTCCTTTGTAGGTTATTATAAAACATTGAGTATAGTTCCCTGCACTATGCACTAAGTCCTTGCTGGTTGCTGATCTGTTCAGTTTTGACTCTTGGTGACTTCATGAACTTAAGCCCATCAGGTTCCTCTGTCTGTGGGATTTCCAGGCAAGAATACCAAAATGAGTTGTCACTTCCTTCTCTAGGAGACGTTCCTAACCTAGAGATTGAGCCCAAGTCTCTTGCATCTCCTCCACCGGCAGGTGGATTCTTTACTGCTAGCACCACCGGGGACGCCCCCCTTGTTGGTTATGCACTTTAGACACAGCAGTGTGCGTGTGTTAATGCCAAGCTCCTGGTTTATCTCTCTGCCGCCCTGGGTCCTCTTTGGCAATAAGTTTGTTCTCTATGTCTGTGAGTCTGTTTGGTGCATAAGTTCACTTGTATCATTTTTTTTAAGATTCCACACATAGGTAGTATCATTAGATATTTGTGTCTGTCTGGTTTACTTCACTCAGCATGACAATCTAAAAGCATT